AACTCCCAGAATGTTCACAAAAAAATTCAAAAAAAAAAAAAAAAAAAATCAACGCGAGTGTTTTTAAATGGCATTTGTTATACTATGACAAAAAACGTCAACAAACCGTCAGCAAAAAATAAATAAAAATCCCGGTTCAAACGTGCTACAAAAACTGTCAAAAATTTAGATTCAAAGGAATGAAATTTTGTTGTAAATTCGTTAAATTTCTATAAATTTCGTATAATGGATCTGTGCCAATTGATAGAAAAGATAAACATTTAACGGATAGAACTAAAATTTTGACATTTTCCATGGTGAATGTGAACGTCAAAATTTTTGGCTACGTAAAATTATGACAGCTTCTAAATATGTGTACACATAATTGTGTTTGGCGGTGTTAAAGAGTGAAAATCAAAATAGACACTGAAAAATTGACAAAAAAGCGTACGTTACTTGTTAGTTGAAAAAATAAATATAAATTTGAACAATATCAGCAACACACAAAAATGAATCTTTCGCAAAATTCAATTTAGTTATACACCATATTACATTTTTTTTACCTCGTCTCACTACGGAGAAAATGCTACCGATTGGCGGCACATAGCCAATGTTTGAAACTTTGGTTTCTATGTTTTTTTTTTGTGTGGTGGCAACCCTCCTACATGTGGTTTTAAACTAATGCCTTTTCAATACCCTCTCGATTGATACCCATATTGGAATAATTCCATTAACTTTTTAAATAATTTTAATTTAAATGTTTAAACAAGTGGCAACCCTCTTCAAATCCCTCAAGAATATTCTTAATGCTCCAACTGAAAATTTATTTTATTTGATATCCATACTTTAATATTTCATATAACTTGTGTATAATTTAATATAATCGACTTTTCAAACAGCTGGCAACCTTCTTCAAAATGTAGCTATAAACCTTCTCCTCGCCGAGACGAACATGTAACAATGTGCAACAAACCAACATCCATTATTACAAGAATATTTAAAAAAAAAAAATCACCTCGTGATTGCTTTTTTGAGTCACTGTGTGTACATACATATATGTACATATTACTTATTCGCTAGTTGACAAATTTGCTTATTCGAAAACCATTTGTAGTTATTGTTTAAGCCGAAGTTGAGTTTATACTTCCTTTTGTTGTTCCAAACAATAAAAAAAAGTGTCACATTATTGTTGGTGTTAAGTTTTCTACATACGCGTTTACAAGCTGCATTTGTTGTTGTTTATTATTGTTTTTCTTTTTTTTTTTTTCGTACACAGCGTTGGTGGTAACACGTTTCATACAGCGGAAGTGGTTTTCTGCTGGTTTCGTATTACCTTGTTATATAGAGCATTTATAATTACACTTTCCGGTAGATGATTTAAATACATATGTAGGTATATGTAGAAATATTAAAATTACTTGCAATGTACATATCTTGCTAACTTTGAGTGAAAAGTTGCTAAGTCCACTTTTTTATGAAAAATCATATTTTGATCAAGGAAGCAAGAGAAATTAAAAATGCATCGTTTCGAAGAAGTTTAACGATACATACAAATTAAAATTTAAGAATTAGTGTGAGAAAAGGTATTTGAATGAATCATTTGAATCTGTAAGTCAAATACTCAGAGGTAAGTTTCACAACTCTAGTTGACAGTTCACACGCGAGGCCTATCCCAGATTTTTTTTCTCGCATACTCGTCTGCTTTCTCATTTTCCGGGAAACCTCTGTGTTCCGTAGAGATTTCTGCCTAAGAGAACTCGGACTTCGCGAATGGTACGCTCACTCAGCCATTGTGGCTGTTGGAGCTAGGGATGTTCCGATATAAGTAAATACGAGTATGTACTCGATACTTTTGTTTCAATACCAACTACTTTTTTTACTTGAATCGTTTTATCGATACCTACTTAGTATCGAAATAAAAGTACTTGTATCGAATCGATTTGGAGAAGTGCCATATCTTTCAGTCATATTTTTTCTATGAAAAATAATTGCTTCGTTTTTATGACAAATAATTGCTTTAAGCAATAGCACCGCCAAACTCTAAAGTGGGGATACATTTTTACAAAGTACAAGCAATGCTTTGAAGCCGTAACGTTTTGTGGGAACCTTTAAAAAGTTTAATTTTTTGTCTAAGTAATCGTATTAGTTCTAAAGTTACTAATGATCAAATAAACATATCGATACCTCAACTGAAAATATATTGAAAATATTTGAGATAGGGCGTTTTGAATCCGCAGCTGAGATAGGGCATTTTTGTACCGAATTCTGAAAGAGGGTTGTCTTGAAAAGTTTTCTGATATAAGGCGGTTTTCAATCAAATTCTGTAATAGAGTGCTTTTGAAAAGTTTTCTCAGATAGGGCGTTTTTAAACTGGCTGCCGAGATCGGTCGATCTACCACTCAGGTGTCGCAAAAGGTATGTCACAGATAACGCCTGAAAACTACTTTCGCTTTGTTGCATATAAAAGGATGAAAAGTTATCGATATAAGTAGGTATCGATACATTCGGTTCACTCATATAAGTAGTATCGAAATAGCGGTTTGAGTAAACTCATTTGAGTAGGTATCGATACTTTGATGGTATCGGAACATCCCTAGTTGGAGCGCCGCGAGCAAACTGACATAGCCGACAACTGACTATCTCTGCTAGTTTTCACCACACATTTTTGGTAAACTTTTTGTTACTTTCCCTTAAAAAATACCCAAATTCTCTTATGTCACAAGACCAGTCACTAATTTATGGTCTCGAATTTTGTAACTTGAGATGAGATTGACTTACCGCATGCCAGCATTAGATTCCCTAAGCCTTAAGTTACATTGCTTTGAATGTGAATTCCAATGAAGGAATGCCCAGAAGTGACTCTAATGCCGATTCGGGCATCAAGGAAATCGCTACCGCTGTAAATATTTAGAAATGTTTGTCGTTGCACCGCTTTATAGGTTGCCTAGATAAAATTTGGTGTAAACCGCCTACCACCATACCAAAGCGATATAGGCCAGACCATTTCTTTCCGCCCACCTTGCGAGTTGAAATGCAGTTTGTAGTGTTGCACTGACTGACGAGGTGAACTTCCTTTCTACTTCTAGGCGTAGATCATCCGCGTAAGTAGAAATTTATTCTGTTAGCCATTAGCCTCATTTCAGGGATCCCCGATGATCAATTGACGAATTTTGGCGAAACATCATTACAGCAATGTACTGACTCAAACTACTGGACAAGCCATCACTGTTTCATAAGCTTTGTTAATTCAGTTTATGTGGCTCAATGTAACCTCCTTATTCCCACAACTCAAATAACAACATCGCTGCAAACATTTCGGGTACTTCTGTTTTCTAATTTTCAACTACAAATATTGAAAAGATGAAGATGAACGAACGTGTCAAAACTTGTTCGTGATATCGAGGAAACTTTTATCGACTATAACAAAGGCTTAGCTATTTTGCTTATACTTTATATAAAAGCTTTGATCAAGCACTAGAGCACTACAAAAACGTTTTGCAAAATATGCATCGCTTTGTCAAAACAAAAAATAAGAAATTTGCGCTCCATTATTGCAATCTGCTGCTTTGGCATAATTGCGAATGAAATAAGAAATTCGCAGCCAAAATGCAAACAAATAACCAACGAATTACTAAAAGTTCAAATAAACGATCATAAATTTTGCCAAATGTGACGTTAACACAAAGAAAAGAAAAGAAACATAAGAAGAAAAAATTGCATATGAAAGAATTGTATGCTAAAAATAAAACACAACACATTCGAATACCAAAATAAAAACCAAATTTATTTTCAATGAAATGAAAATGAAATTTATGGCGATTTCGTTTCTACAAAAAATGTTGCCTTCTCATCGCCCTCTGCTTAGTGATTGTGCGTAGAGGGCAAAGAGAGAGAAGGTTGCATTTTTCGGTAGAAACGAAATCGGCATTATATAAAAAAGATAAAACAAAAAATTTATAGTTTAACTTATTTATTAAGATTTAAAGAATAGTTTTAACTAAAAAAAAATTATTTGTTTCCTTTCACTATTTTTCAAAGCATTAGTTCATAAGCGTCAAACTAAATCAACGCTATAATAAAAATGATACATTAATCGCTCGAGTAGGTAGTCATAAAAAAAAACCAAGTCGTTAAATATCAGACTAAAAGATCACAAAAAACTGTACATATGTACATACATACATATATATGTACATAAATATATATGTATGTACACATGACGATTCTAAAGTTGAACTTTGTTGGAGAAAGTCAAGGTTTTAAGAAACATAAAAATTCTGACATTAAGAACAGAACGCGCAGATGGCGATTAAATGATAATGGCAACAACGAACAAAAGATTAAAGAAAATAAATAAAAATTATGCTTTTTCGTATTCACATGTATATTTTGCGTAAATATAAGTATGATGCCATGTCAAAAAAAAATAAAAATAAAAAAAAAAAAAATTGTGGGAGCTGAAACGGTGGAAGTTATTTGTAGATGGTCTGCATGTTTGTGTAGTTTTATGGTTTTCACCTTCCGCTGCCATTAACCTTAATGGCCTAGAAAATTGAAATAAGAAAAAGTTCATACAGCCGTTAGGGAAAATTCCTATTTCGTAATAAAAATCTATAGGCGCCATATTGGCATTATTGTATGGATATGTAAGTACAAATGTGTATTCGATTTCATTATTTTATATTCATCAATCTAATTTTTAAATGAATATATTAATTCAGTTGCCTTTTTTCCGTATTTTGTAGGGTAACATTTTATTTTGATTTTCTCAACTGGTACTACACACTTAATACGCCTTGAGTGCTGGGAGTTAAATATTTCCTGCTCCATGTGCGTTTTTCCGCCTCATTAATCCGCGCAAAGTGTGCGAGTCTTTACTCATCATTCTACTTAGCTGTCTTTACGCATTTTTATGCTTTCAACACATATGGACGGACATACATAATTCTATGTATATATCTACATGCATACATATGTATTTAAATATGTAGCTATAATTGCTTGTTTATCTCACTCAAACTTAACCTTCAATTTCACTTTTGAATGGAGACGAAATGTTCTTGACGACATTGAACTTTATTTTCGTACAAATTGGAAATGTGATTTTTATTTAAATTTGCGTCGAGAAAATGACATCCAAGAAACTTGTGTGCATACATATGTACATATGTTGCAGTGGCATTTTGATAAAACAACTTAAGTGGCTTTAGAAGGCTTGACTTTGTTTAAAAAAAAATAAGTTTCCCTTAAAAAGTTTTATATTTTTATTAAGCTTCTATTAAATGGGGCATCTTAAACTACACCTATGGCTTTTTAATTGTTAAAATATTTTTTGGTAATCCAATGATATGCTTCTTTAAAGAGAAAGTAGCCTAACTCGAGTTAAGTTGTTTTATCAAAATACAGACATTTTTTTTATTTTTGTGTTAGTGTTTGCATAGCGCCAAGCGTGGGATTTAAAAATAAAAAATTGTTTTTTTTTTTTATATATTTGTTTTAGAGCATTTGTTTAAATGACAAACTGAGCCAATTTTTTTGCAAGGAAAGTGTGTCAGAAGTAATACGTAATTTTCACAATTCTGACTCATTTTATATGTAAGCGGAGAAAGTATATTTAGAATATTGGTAAAATAAAAGAGAAATCCGAACTTAGGCACTTTCGCGTCCGCACTATCTGCACAATTATCATTCCTTTTGAGGTGCTTTTTGAAATGAAGTGAAAAACTATTACTATTTTATTGAGTAAAAAAGCGTCTGTATTAGGGTGGTCCTTAAAAATATCAACATCTCAATTTTGTATGTCGCATGCCCTTATTTTGTTCTACCTACAAAAAAAAAAGACATTCACGAAAATTAAAAAAATCGCTTGTAGTGTTTCAAAAAATTTTATTTTTTATTAATCGCAATAATTCGACGAAATTTTACTTAAAATCTGATAAATTTGACATATTATTGAAACTTATTCATATATATTCTATAACTCGCTGTCCAAATTTAAAATTTTCTCGAATTCTTGCGATTTCAAAAAAATTAAATTTTACCAAAATCTGGTAGCGACCACTAAAAAGTTGTTTAAAAGTTCGTGCAACGTACCACCCTGTGTTTCAAACTAATTATGTATTATTTTAATATTAATTAATTTAACATATTAATTTAGAAAATTTGTTTCAAAGGGTTGCCACCTATCTAAAAATGAAAGTTGTCTTTAAATTTAAAAATTCTTCTATAATATGATTTCCTCGTGCCTTTTAAAAAGTGGGCATTAATTATAATCAATTAATTTGAAACTCCGATTTTTTAACCTTTTGTTTTTAGGTACATATGTATGTATAATGACTATGAAATGAAATTATTTATGTTTTCTAAACATTTTGATTATAATTAATTATATGCGTTTTACTTTTTGCAATTTTTAAGCACTGCTGGGATTTTCTCAAAACCTTTCTGGATTTTATACTTCATTTTTTTTTTTTGAAGTTTTGTAGCATTTTGAGGTTTTCCTGGAGCATTTTTCGGGACCTTTGAAAAACGCGTTTTATTCTAAGCCAAAATTTCAATCCTTACACAAAAATTAAAAAAATTCGACAATGTATCATCAAAATTTTTAGCCTTATAATTGGATTTCCTAGAAACATTCTGAGTATGTAGTTATATATCCCATTCAAGGTTAGTATAATTAACTGCAAGTTTGAAGTACCTTGGACTTACAGTTAATTTTTCCAAATTTTTTTCGTGGAAGGTGTTGCTCATCCTCTGAATCTGTATTTTTTAAACTATTTTTCAATATCAGCCACTTTCTATAGCTGATTTAAACCGAAACAAAGCAATCAAAATCAACTTATACACACTCTCACATTAAAAAAATTGGAAATATTTAAATGCTGCTCAGATGAAATCTTTGCTCTACACCCACAATTTTTATAGCCAATGAAGCGAAAAGCGTTTACATTGTATAGATATCACCATAAATAAATGAAAGAGGATCACCGCAATAAATTTACAATGAAATGGCAAACAAAAAACCTGTATTCCTTTTGACATCATTTCTCATAATTTATTTTGCAAAATAACTACAAC